CACAGAGGGCAGCATTTTCCCAAAGAGTTCCATCTGCCTTGGACCAGAGAGCTTGTAGCTCCTCCCCCCAGAACTGCCCATCTCCTAGCTTCAGCCCAGCCTCAGCCACATCCTCACAGCTGCACCTCCTGTCCATCAAACAGCTAGCTCCTCAGCAACATCCCTAATTTTAGGCAATGTCCTCAGTTTTCAAATAAACAGATGTCAGACTCAGGAGGGAGATGGGGAAGGAAGGAGAAGTAGGCTATCTAGAAGACATACACGCTCATCCACCACTTTAATCTAAAGCCTCACTATCCTATCCTTGCCCTCTTCCAGTAAGTTTTGAGCATTTCCCTGTCACCCCTTTCCTGGTGAGTCCTGGGCAAATGGACTCTCAAGACCTTCAGAGGCTGCCAAGAAATAGAAAAGCATTCCTGTATCTATTTCAGGAAGTGGCTTATTTCCCAGACTGGTCTTTCACATTAGTTCAGCCTATTCAAACATTGTTAAGTCAAATACCCACTGCAAGGTACAAATTGAAGACATGGGCATGACCAAACTAAAGGAAAAAGACACTTAGTATTCCCCAGTATTACCTGCCAAAAAGTATGGTGCAGCCTGGAACACCCTTCCAAACTCTTCAAACATTGCTGATAAAAACACAGTTTTAACCTCTTTGCTAACCTCTGGGGGGCTTAGCCTCCTTACTTCTCTGGAGGAGGCTCAAGACCCATTCAAACTTACCTGAATAAAGAGAAGACCATACCACCTCAGCTGCTCTTTATTTCACAGATATTAGAGCCATCTACTGGTTCCTTACAGTTTCTCAAGTGGCCTCTGTGGGCTGAAGAGGTGACAGAAAGGCAGTCTACAGAACTCTTTCAGAGATAAAAAGCATCACAGAGTGCCTGACCTTTCCTGCTGGGATATCCAAGATGACAGGTTTGAGCCTGTCCCATTTCTCCAAGCATGACATAACAAAAGAGAAAACAGTGCCTCACTGCTGTAGTGCCAGGACTGGTTGCAGGAAACCTTATGTTAAGGAACACAGCAGCTACGGCGTTTTTTTTTAAAAAAAAAAAAAAAAAAAAGCGCCCTTCTCCCAGCACTTGTGGCATGCTGGGAGTGGGTGGCCTCTCACCTTCTAAAATAGTAAGTTTGTGCCCAGCTAAGCTCTTGTCCTCTGGTAATGGGTAGATGCAGGACAACAGCTCATAACTATGCATGACATCTCTCAGGCTGTGATCATGGCAACCATCTTTTATGCCTGGAGAACTGAAAGGGACTCTAAAACAGCTCTGTCCCCCACAACCTCTACAGTGTTCCCTGTCCAAGTAACCCATAAGCAGATTTTGCGCATGAGAACTTTACCTGTATGGCAATATACAGCACAACTGTGCTGTACTTTCATATCCAGTATCCTTGATGACCATAACAAATGCTAGAAACATTAATACAACTAATTGCAGCTTAATCATTAAGAACCTTAAAATTAGATTAAATGGATTCACCATTTTATTTTACATTTATTTTAAATAACCTACAGCTCTGTCAAAAGCAACAAATACCACCACAAAGCTGCGCAGCAGCATGCCCTCTTTGATTCTTGCACTACTGCTGCCTCAAGGACATTCTCAATCCTAAAATTGGCCCAACAGCTTATAGTCCCCACAACCTGTATTTTTCTTTCCAGCTATATTATACCACAGGAAGAACACGTACACATCCTTAAAACCCATAAAGAGCCTCACATGAAGCCCAGAAGCAGTAGCTAACCAGAGATGGCAGTGGTGTAAGTATTACAGCTCTTTCTCTGCTCAGTTTTCTTCCTCACCAGCATGTTTTTTGGTGGTAGAAGGGTTTTGCTACAGCATTTTGTTTGTTTTGCTGCACTTCACAGAAATTCCTGAGGTCTAGGCTTAGGTCATGGTATGAAACACTCACTTGTACTCACCTTAGGAAGACTGTGTGAATCTCAGATGAATCAGGTTTCACTCCCCAGTTTTAGATAGCTTCAGAACACCCAGGGCACTACCAACACTCCCAATCTACATTCACTCCCTCTCTCCCCAAAATTCACAGACACACACAGACTCACTCCTCAGTTAAACGCCCCCAGCTGGGAACTATAATGACATCTGTATCAGCTGTGGCTCAGAATTTACTTCTATGACAGTGGTGCTTAGGGATTTTGGCTGATGTCTCAGATGCACAGACAACTTGACAATGATGGCTTTCCATTTGGGATTTCTAAGGGGTAAAGCTGCAACCTTTTTAATTCAGCTGGTCCTAAGTGTTGGGGCAATACCAGATGCTTTTGACAGGCAAGTAATCAAAGCCCTCAGCACTGACAGAGCAGAGGCACGGCTCCTGACACCATGGTAAGTAGCATCTTATTTCCAGATGAAGCCTCAAGACTCCATGCGTGAACTGTACAAAGTGCCAGAAAGCAAACCTATTTTGCTTGACAAAATATGATGACCATTAGACTCTTATATAATTAGCACGAGGTTATGTCCTCTTAATTAAGTAATTCCAGTAGCATTTAATCAATGGTACAGGGAGACTTTCAGAAGCAGAAATGGCAGCTTGGCACCCAACTGCGGTTGGCTTTTGCTGGCTAGATTCCTAATCACCAGACAACTCCTCTGAAGTCCGCTTCCCTTATCCCACCCTGATGTACTGTAATAGAAATATCTGCAGTGTTTGGGCAGGCGCTGTCAGATGGAAAATTTAAAAACCTGGCAAAGATAAGTCTCACTGTTTAATAATCTATGGGAATTGCATTTTAATTTTGAAGACGTGTCAGTCATTAGAAGTGAAACAGACATCATACTTCATGCATATTCCTCATGAAAACACCACATAAAATACAGCACATATTTTTCCTTTAAGACAATTTAAAGTACAGGGAACTTCTACCCCTACAGACTCATTCAGCTGCTTTAGTGCCTAATTAGCAACTTAGAGAAACCTTACCGCACCTACTGCAGCATTCTCTAGCAAACCGAAGGCAGGGAGTCTGTTTTGGCTGCAGAAATCAAATTCAAGAGCATGATGTATATGACATTATCTTGGGTGAGCTGGAGTTCTCATGAGACAACAAAACATTTCTACACCAAACACACTATCATTGCCATTAGTGATCTTTAACTACCACAGTTGGTAGGAAACAAGTTGCATCCATGCATTAGACCCAAACTATTGATTAACACTACAACAAGGTTACATACTAATAGTAAGTCTAATTGTGAGGCTTTTAACTGAGTGTTTTAAGAATGATGTAGCGAAAAATGCAGTCTGTCCTTCTACACTATGTCAAAGTGAGACGAAATAAATTACAAGCCTTCCCTTGCTAAGAAAACACACTGAGAGGATTAAATTCATTACATACTTTGCAAAGGTCATCTTTTTCAAGCTGATGTCATATGGCTCTCTGATACAGGAGAGCTTTGCAGCTCTGTAGCAATGGAGCCTAAAAGTTCAGGGGGAGAGTGCAGCAGCACTTTGTGAATCTAAACCAGCCCCCTGGGCAGAAGCCTCTCAGGGGTCCCCTTTGGGCAGCATAACTTGCTTAGGAACAGCGATGCACCTGACCACTGCTTCTGAGCAGCATGCTGGGTCTTCACTCAGAGGGATAGAACAAATTAGAGCTTGAAAAGCACATGGCAGAATTAACTCCAAAGCATATTTCTACTCAGATATCTTTCATGTATGGATGCAGCATGCAACAGAAATAGGTTAGAGTGCTTATTATACAGTTTCCATGCTGAATGAACCAGAGATTAGTTCTCTCACAACACGTTTCAAAGTAAGAACAGCGTACACACCAGGAAAGGAAATGCGCTGTTTCCAGCCGACGCAGTCTAAGCCTGTTGGAGTGCTCTGGGAAAATGGATGCAGCTTAAGTGGCAGAATGTCAAAGGCAACAGCAGAAGTAACGGATGGACTCATTCCAGCCTGCAACAAGAGATGAAAAAAGAGACAAGAGATTAAACTTAGATACCCCACAGTACAAAATATAGCATCCATCATGGAACACCTCTTTCCATCTCCGATGCCTGCTGATGTAAGTAAGTAGTACGTTAGCAGACATCTACACACATGGATGATTATGGCTAGAGAGGTTAAAAAACATAGTGAGAAGGCAAAGAAAGCTGCAAGGGGATAAGAACCAGAGGATAACCAAGCACTGGCTCCACAGTTCAGGTACTACCTCATTCTAAACACATACCAATTTTCACAGAACATTACTCTCCTTGCTATGAAGCGTACCTTGTGAGGGGAAGAGCAAATCACCATCACAAGTCATCCTGTCAGCTACAGAACTAATTAAGACTTGTTTCCTACAACTAATGTCTCACAGTTGCTCTTCTGTTATTTAAAGAGTAAAGCTTTTCCCTTCAGAGGTTTATTGGTAAAAGTCTCCAGCTGTATAACATTCAGCTAACACTATATTCTTTCCTTCAGTTAATGATACAGATCGGATGTCTCCCTCCTTGATCTGGCTGACTGGTTTCATGAAACTTATAGAACTTTATGAAACTTTGAAACCTCTATACCATTGCCAGATCTCGTTGAATTAATAACTTGTGTTGGCTAAAGGTAGAAAAGACACGGAGACATGTATCACGTACAGCGCATGACCTCACAGACGATGAGTGACGCAGGTTGTAATGAAAGACACTGAAACTTGTAATACTTAATGTGTAATGCAGATTTTGTTTGTATTTTTTTTTTCTTTTCTCCACTCCATATCTCCCATGGCTGACATCCACAGAAAATATCTGTTCCTGGGAGGTGACCTGGAAGGCAGCAGGTCAGTAAGCACTGGTCCTATGGGCATAGCCATTCTTCATCTCTTTATCACTATTGCCCCTTCCTTTTCCTACTGCGACATTCAGTTTTGTCTCCATCTTTCACTGAAGCAAGAGTTTGGGATACTGAGGTTCAGTAGTTTCTCTAGGATCTTTCTCTCTCCCTACCATCCCATACCATGTCCTAAAGCCTGCTTCACACCACCACCGTAAGTATCCTGCTGAGCAACCCTCCTGTTAAAGCCTTCTTTTTCAAAGACAACTATTAGCCAAAACATCCTTCCAAAAGGAAACAGCAAACCAAATGCATTGAAAAGCCACACGCTGTCCAAGCAGCTGCTCTGTGCCTAGTTTCCTTTAGTCTTCCTGGACTTACTTTCCTGAAACAAGGAGAACACAGCAAATATTTTAGTACCAATTATAATCTCCAGAGTGATGGCAGGAACACTGTTCAAGTTAACCTCAGCAGCACCCGTTTATTTAGAAAATACCAACAGAGCCCAGGTGGCAGCACACGCTCTCCCAGAGACGAGATAACGCAAACCAGGCTACATACTGAACTACAGCTCTGAAGATGCCATCAGTAAAGTCTAGGTTACTTACATGAGAGGTGATAGAAGGCATTATTGTTACATTTAAGATGCTGCCTCAGGGCCATTACGATAAAAACTGGAGGCTCATTTTTATTACTGCCCAAAACAACATAAGAGGAGGTTTCCAGTACAGTTATTATTTGACTTTTATACTAGGGGAGCCATGTCTGTACAATCCCAAGCAGGGAAAGGAAGCACCTTCAGAGATGTTGATACTATATGGGCAGCGTTTCTCCTGTCACACAAGGGAAGGAAGGGGAAAGGAGGGAGCAGAGTGTAGTAAAGACCCTCCCTTCTACACTTTCTTCCATGGGTTCAAGAGGATTATTTCTAGGCTCATTATGCACAGAGTACTCCCCCACTGAAGAGTTCAGTCCCTGGGAGAGGCATTTACCCCTGGTCGTGTGTCTGTGGCTTGTTAGGTGCACAACAGAGGGAGATTTGTCTTTTTCAATCCCTCCCTCCAAAGGGCATTCATTGCTCTCTTGAAATGCCTCTGATGGGCCCATAGTACTCATAACCATGCTAGCACATTGCAAAAGTTGATTTTCTTTTATTTTGGATGGGGTAGAGTCAGGTGTCCACAAGCAGTATCCAGGACCTTAAGCTACAGATCTATTTTTCACTGCTTCTCATTTCTCTTTCAAAATAAAATATAGAGCTTTTTCTGTACCAGGCCCCCTCTGGGTATATTCCTCTGATGTGCCTTTTAGGAATCTCTCTAATTTGGTAGTGCAGAAATTGTGCTCTGACAAATGCACACAGAAGCCATGTCTGTGCCTTTATTACGGTGCACTGCATAGGCATCAAGCTTAACAGTCAGGTTTTTAACTTTTTGTTGAAATAGGAAAGAGAAGGATGGGAGCAGACAGGCAGTTAGACAATATCACTAAAGCAATTCTTCCAAAACTAATTCCCAAAACAGAGCCTATGACCATTACAGCATTATATGTATCAGTGTTTTAGGGCATTGACTCTGCTCCAGCTGGGGAATTTATACTGCATTTAAAAAAAAGTAAAAATACCCCAGGCCTCACTGAGAAACCCTTCACCATGTGAAGGGCAGAGCCTACGGCCAAGCAAAAGAAAATTGATTCCACTCAGAGTCACCTGAGTTTCTCTTATTCCACTTCAGGGGATGTAATGGTCAAAGGCTTGCAATGACCAGTTAAATGTTAACACTTTAAGGTACAAGATCAGAAGATGCTTGGCTTGTTACTGGTAGCATTTCATTATAAAGGACAGCTGGGTCAAGCTTTGAGTTTGACTCTAGGGATTTACACAGACTGCTCCCATTTAAAGCAGATCAGCAGCTTCCTGGACCTAAGCAAAACAAAGAGCAGTATTTAGTATTGTTTTGGACTGGTATTTCTGTGGTTATTCTTTAAAGGTAGTTTATTGACTGCTTATGTCAGCCTCCCTCTGAATCCCAACTGCTAGCCTTCAAAATAGTCTGATACTACCTCTATATTTATTTGCATATGTTGATCCAAATGATAGAATAATAGCCTTCAGTGCTGATTTCTGCTGAGGATTAGCTTTCTCTTCCTCCCTAGTCTGCCCTATTTAGCTGCTTCCACAATATTGCAGCATTACATCACCTTGTATGCTGACCTGATCTTGACTTAACACAATATGACTTGTCATAACTGAAGCCACACATCCCAAGGCAGCCATGTGTCAAAAAACATCAGACTTGCCATTTCAGATCTCCAAAGCCCCTTACGGTTGCCTAGTTTCAGTCACAAAACCACAACAGAAAATAAATGCCTTACAAAGCTTCTTTTGTGATAACTTATTTCTCCTTACAAAAAGGGAGTTGGGCATCCTTCTGCCCCCAACACTGCAGCTTGTGACAGCACTCCCACCACATCTGGGGGTATGAATAAAGGAAACCATTGTATTAATTTCAAATATAGCCAAAGCCAGCACTATTACAGTAATAGAGCATTGCAAAGACAGAATAAAACACAATAGGAAAGAGAAACAACATGATGACTATTATAACTAAACAATATAGGCCAAGGAATGCAGTTGTATGAGCATATAGAAAATAGGCCTTGAATCTCAACAGTTCTCTCAGTTAAACTTAGCATTATACTGTCTTGGCCTGCACACAAAGATAAAGACTGAGTCAATAACATACTTAACACACTCAGCTCAAAAAAAAAAAAAAAAGGTAAATGGAAACAGTAATCAGCACATCTACCTGCACACTGCTGCATACCTTCTACTCCTCTCTACTACCCAAAAGCTAATACACCAGAAAGGCAGGTATGGGGTGTTAGAAGAGGGTACCCCAGTGGGAGCAGGGGCAGCTGCCACCCATTACACAGCTGATCACAGTTTAAAGGTAAGTCAATACCAGAAAATAAGGGTGGGAATATTTAAAGGAGAAGTTGTTTTCTGGTGGCATCAAAACGTGCAGTTAATCAACAAAATAGCACTTCAGCTGACGGCTCTAGGGAAAGCTACTGAGGTAACTAGTTGCTCTTCCTAGAAGCACTAATGGTCTCAGGGCTGGCCAACATGCCCTGCAGCATGGGCTAGATTTTCATCACTATCTGTGTTTGTCAAGCAATTGTAAGAAATATTTTTAGCACGTTTTAATGGCTTCTGTTTACCACTGAGCCTAAGTATGCCAGGGTCACATCTTCCCTAGCTAGTTTCATGTCCTTACACCACTGATCATTCTCTCAGAACTCTGAACAAGGTGGAAAAATAACACCACTTTGTTTTAATGTTAGCATACACCTAGTGCCTCAGGAGTACTATTCATTGTGTTCGACATATAGGTACTAGTGGGGCTGAGCATCCTCGCTGAACTGAGGACAAAAAAGACCAGAATCATGACCAACACACCAACACTCCTCCCATCCTCAGCTGGCTACATTTGGAAGAGGCAAAGAAATACAAAATAGCACCTTTAGAAACCCTTCTTCTGGAATTAGCCTGGCTTTCTGTCTCAGGTGTCCGCTGGATGTGATATGAGACACTCACAGGTAGACGCTTAGGAGCTGCCCGTGAGCCCTAGCAGACAAATTTAGGTTTGCCTGGTGAATGGTTTCTGCCTCAGCAGCAAAAGAACTATTTATGCACCTAAGCTCAAGCATGTGCTGCAATGCTGGTAGGATCAGGGCCTCAGCTTTCTCAGACATTGTCATTTTGATGTAAGAGCAACCAGAAAGAGGCAACAAGCACAACAGAGAGAAAGCAAAACAAATGAAGAGAACAGACCAAAAGAGAAAGCCCCAAGGAAAGCTTTTTTTTGAAAATCTACTACTTGTTTTCAAGCTTGCTCAAAAGCTTCTTCTATTTTATTAGCAGGAGTTGCACAGAGTTTTCCCTCTACCTCATATCCTTTTTCTCCAGAAGTTTGGTGTTTTATGTCTAAGAGCTAAATTTGGCTCCTGAATGCAGATTCATGGCTCTCCCTGAAGGGAACAGACCTTTGCTCTGGATCCAAAAGTAGTGGATGCCATTAGTGTGACTCATAGCAGCCACAAAGTTTGTCACAAACAATCATAACCCTGATCTTAAAGTCTCCCATGGTGTAGATGAGATTCTCCCAAGCACTTCATAGAGGAAGTGCTAGAAGTCTTTCCTCAGTAAGAATGGAACTGGCCTCAGATATAAGGGAAATCTAGTTTACAAGTCACTTTTCAAAGTGATATGGCAATGCTACAGGGCACTGAATGAGATTTCATCAGTTTAATTTATACTGATAGAAGATAACTTGGATTTGCTCCTTGTCCTCCCTGTCTTTCAGCCCCCAGAGCAATCTGATGTAATCGCATCCTATTGTTCAGCATGGCATAGGGCAGGAACTGCTCACTTACAGTGACTAAAACAACCATCACCTTTCAAGATAATCACTGTATGGGTGAGTTCAGTGTTATACAATAGGTCTCCACAGACTACCAAGCTCAAAGAGAAGCAGAGAGAACTGGTACAAGTCACAGTGCAAGGAGAGGAATATGACAACGGCAGAAAGGAGCAGCCGCAGCACAAAGAGGAAGACTGCCAGAGAATGAGGAGGACGGTGGTTTCTTACTTTTAACTGGTCTTCTGGGAGGTGCTGTGTTTGAATTCCTCTCTCTGGCTGTCTCTCCTTCTCTAGCTTCCTTTTTTGGTTCCTCTCCATCCAAACATCATCGAAGCTGAAGCACTTATAGAGGGGTTTAGGTTTCTTCCTCTTCCTCTCTGGAATCTCCTTGGCTTTTTCATCTGGAGCAATGAAGGAAAGCCTCCGGGCTTTGCTCTCAAGGGTTAAGAGAGGGTGTGGGGATGGTGGAACCTGGGGGGGCCTCCTTTTGTGATGGGGAACCCATTTCTCACTTGGCCTCTTTTCAGGTGGTGTCTGACATTGCTGTTTAGACTCCTGTTTTACAAGCAACAGGTGAAAACACGTTTGTTGGTTGGAAATTTTGTTTGCTTTAAATCAGGTTGAAAAGGGGATAGCATAGCTCAGTTGTCTAGTTCCAGAACTGGCCGGAAGAAAAAGCCTTCCCACAAAGGCTGGAAGGCTGAAGCCAGCCTGTCCTACCCTCCTGAGGCTGAGGGGCACTCCATCCTGAAGCAGCAGCTCTGCTGCCCTTTGAGACAGTGCAATATACATTGCCTCTGCACAGGACCATGCCCTTTTCACCTTCATTCTAGATGGCATATTACAATAACATTACAACTAGGATTTAGGTCACTCTGTCTGTATAGTATTGTTTACGAAGACAGATAGCGTCTTTGAAAATGCAATAATGCCCAGTCTTGTCAGTCTGTGCTTTTCCCACTGTACTTCAGCTATAAAAAGTGAAAATGCTTCCTAGATGCCTGCAGGTCTGACATATTAAACCCAGTGCTTTGCACCTCACTCTCATTTTCTTTTAATGTGTATGGCTGCAAAAAAATACAACTTTTATACCGGAAAAAATTAAAATCAAGCATGTCCCAAAGAATCGAACTACTAATCAAGGTAGCATCAGTGTTAAAGTCAGTAAAATTTAAGGTGGGAGATAACTGTATCAAGGAAGGAATGGTCTCAGGAATCTGTTTTTGTACCAAGAAAATTTTGTGTCCTGACAATAGTATCCCTCCAGTTTCTCACAGCTCATTTGAACAACCCAGACACAATAATCCTTAAACTGTTACAGGCATTTCCTTTCTACTCTGAATTAACCAGCAGTCGTGCCCCAGACCAATTCTTCTTTGCCACTGGCCAGTCTATAACCCTGCACACCTGCTACATGCTCTGCAGAAAGCAGAGTTTATCCTGCTGGCAGTCTATGCCTAACTCCATCACATTAGGGAAGGCAAGGAGGCTGCACAGACTGCAAATACAGGATATATTAGGACAGTCTGCTCTTGCCTGCTGGATAGCATAATTACCTAAGTAAAACTGTGTCACAAACAATTTAATTAATTATATTAATGGGCCTCTATAAGGCCCATGCAATGCAAAATACTGCCACTTCGGTAAACTGCTAATTGTGTAGAGCTGTTCCATCTTGCTGTTACCAGCATAACATCTTGGTCCTGGATGTAAGCTGGAGAATGTTAACCATTAGCAGGTGATGAGAGAGGGGCTGTTCTGCATTTCAGCGTGCTGAGGAGTGTTAACCAATGCGGTAGCCAGAGGTGTCAAGGACATGCACTCCATGTTTCCCAGCCCAGAAGTACTGCCAGCAGTACCCCTTGAGGGCACTAGCTACCCTGATGCACCAAACTGCGAGGATGCAGCAAAGGGTAGGACCTTTTCAGTCCTGCTCTTGCACAGAGCCACGGGCACCCACATGTACAGTTTCCAAGCTGAAGGGGAAGAAGAGCAGGAAGGGACATCCACATGGGGGCAAAGCTTCACAGAGAAATCTGGCTGATGCTCTGGTAAGCGATCATTCTCCCACTGCTTGTTGCTGCGGGCAGTTTGCTGAGTGAGGCTCCCCAGCGTGTGGTAAGCCAGATGTGCGTGCTTGCATGTTGAAGCTTTGTACAATCACTGACTAAATTCTCAACTAACCCCAGTGAACAGAGCACTACACTGCTGTTCTGTAAACAGTCCTGTTACCTTGGCCCAGGGGTCCAGATCAAATGAGTGTGCATATTGCTTGCCTGTATTGCTGTGTCTCCTCCTCGCAGCATACAAGACAAACCATTCAGTGCTGAAGCATCTGAAAGGTTCAGGTAAATCTCAGTAAAAGGTCAAGCCCCTTCTGCCTTTTAAAGAACGAAGAACGGACTCTAAAGTCAAACTCAGTGCAGTGTACGGTACTGGGAAGAGAAATTGGTAAACTAAATATTTACTTAAGGTGAAATTCAGATACTACTTGTTAACTGTATATCACGCATGCTTCAAGAGAGTCTTTGTTGTGAAGAAGAGCAATTTGGGAAAGGTTCCCACTGGACCATTATGCGGGCATAGAAGCTTTTGATTCTTAGACTGGAATACAAATTGGCCCTTTTTTGAAGATAATTTATCCCTTTTCTCCTTTCCTAATCACTTTTCCAACTCTGTCCGTCTTTCTTATGAGGCAGTCTGTTGAGCAAAGGCTCTCTGAAAGCTCATACGTTTCTAGACCTGACGTACAGGGTAGAGCATAGGCCAACCTCGAGTCTCAACGACTCATCAGGAACTCTGTGAAGCAAAATCTCCTGGATTTTCTGACCTCCAAGACGAGATACAGATGCCGCACCCTAGAGAAATGCCAGTGCATCCTAAACTACACATAAAATGGTGACTGTTCAGACGGAATAGATGCCAACCAGCTGCCTAGGTGTTGAAATTTGGAGATTTCAATACTGTATCTTTACATAGGACTGAAGAACAAGGGTGCATGATACAGAGGAAGAGAAGACCTAACCCCACTGTGCTACCCCAAAGATGCTATACTAAATTCAAAAAATGCTAGCTGACAAACTCTCTCAGGAAGTGGATGGCAACAGGGAATCAGAATGGCAGCTGATCCATTAAAGTCTGGTGCACCACTATAGCATGAAAAATACTGAGACCACTGGCAAAATACCTAGCTGGGGGCTTGGGGAATATATCCCTGTCTCCCCAGTGAAGCGCATGCAGGGATTTGAGCTCAAAGAACTCTACAATTATGCATTTTTCTAGCATTCCATCCAGTCATGCCCTCTACCAGTGTGGAACATAAAATAATTTTTCTTTTAATCCATCATTAAACTTAATTTTATGACCTTTTTGGTTAGCAACATACATAAGGAAGATCATCCTTAATGTTTAGATGCTAATTAAATCTATGTTGGAAAGACGTAAACTGCAGGCGTACTTTGTTCAATGCCTCTGCTGTATTTTCAGAACTTCCTGATAAAAACAGCTTTACTTATCAAAAGCCATTGGCTACAGAACTGGATACAGTTCTACTTCATTTCACAATGCCAAATAAACCTACCTTGGGAATAAACAAAAGCCTTATCTGCTTTAATAGATTAGATGTTGTATCCTGAAAGCTGGGACAGTTACATTAATTTCTAGGCTCTAGGTGCATTTAACCAATTTCAGATATCATATTCTGCAGCCCCCAGAATAATCAGTAAAATTATATTGTTTTTATATGGCTTAGATACTATCTAAATTTGTCATGGCTTTTCTTAAGTTATTTAATTTAGCAAACAATTTAAGTAATTGTTTATTTGTGCCTAATGGTTGCATTCTAGGATGTGGGCTTGCCTATTCAAGGCTTTACATATGCCTCTTCTCTCCATTCTTTTCTAGATACTCTTTTGGGTATCTAGGTATTAGGGTATTTACAGGTCAGTGATTTTATTCATCCTCTGAAAGGCTTCATCTGTTGACAGTGTGTTAAGAGTACTTTGTGCAACCCAAGTATCTTGCATTCTTCTAGGCTGGTGTAATACTGCAGGTCTCTTGTTTGGAATGTGGCGTCCAGTATAAAGTTTGTACATTAAGTTGATGCCCATGAAAACAAGAGATCTGCTCAAGTAAAGCAGGGGACATAAGGCAATAAAGCAAATTCTCTTTCCCTTTTCACCCACAGCTATTCAAGTACTACAGCCCTCACTTCTGATGTTGCCACCCGTGTGCTTCTTTAGATTCCACACAGCATTAGCTAAAAACAAAGAAACAAAGAAACAAACAAAAAGTTTCACTGGAAATGTGTGAGGAGAGGTTAGGGGAACTAGGTTTGTTCAAGCTGGTGAAAAGGACACTAAAAGCAATGTAACAGCAGTCTATAAAAATTTGAAGGCTAGTTCTATAGATGATGGATCCAAACTCTTCTTAGCAGTGCCAGACAACACAACAAGGGACAATGGGCAGAAACTGTAGTTCGGATAATTCTGTTTGGGTATTAGGAAAAAATTTTTCCTCAGAACACGTTGCCCAAAGAGCTGGTAGAATCTCCATCCTTGGACATTTTCAAGACTTCATTAGACAAATATCTCTGTGAAAACCAGTCTGTCACAAGTAAACTAATTGGTTACCAAGATTAGAGTACATTACAATATAAAAAGAAAACCCAGAGAGAGTCCATGTTTCTTTTTTCTTTTTGCAGTAGAAAAAGTGGAACAAGACTCTAGCAGCAATCAACGGACAGCTATGATGACTGTAAAATGATAGTGTATTTTGAAAGACAGCTGTTCACTGTCTAAAAAAAAAAGGATTTTACTTCTAAAAGTGGCTGCTAGTGATAGGAACTGATGTTGCCTTTCATTCTCAGAAACCTATTTACCACACAGTCATGAGGCTTGACTCTCCCTTGTCTTAGAGCTGTAAGACTAAAGACTTGGCTTTAAGAAAGGGCAGTGTCTGTCTGCGCAGTCTGTTTTTTTCTGTTTTTTATTCCCTTTGTTGAGGAGGATCAGCTTAGAGATCATTTGTCCAAACCTGACATCCACAAATCCATGGGCCCTGATGGGATGCACCCACGAGTGATGAGGGAGCTGGCGGATGTTATTGCTAGGCCACTCTCAATCATCTTGGAAATGTCATGGAGAACAGGAGAGGTGCCTGAGGCCTGGAAGACAGCTAGTGTCACCCCAGTCTTCAAAAAGGGCAAGAAGGAGGAGCCAGGAAACTACAGGCCTGTCAGCCTCACCTCCATCCCTGGAAAAGTGATGGAACAGCTCCTCCTGGAGGTCATCACTAAGCATAGGGAGGACAAGGAGGTGATCAGGAGTAGTCAGCACGGATTCACCAAAGGGAAATTATGCTTGACCAATCTGACAGCCTTCTCGGATGGAATGACTGGCTGGGTAGATGAGGGGAGAGCAGTGGATGTTGTCTACCTGGACTTCAGCAAGGCTTTGGACACTGTCTCCCATCACATCCTCTTAGGTAAGCTCAGGAAGTGTGGGTTAGATGAGTGGACGGTGAGGTGGATTGAGAACTGGCTGGATGGCAGAACTCAGAGGGTTGTCAGTGGGGCAAAGCCTAGTTGGAGGCCTGTAGCTAGCAGTGTTCCACCAGGGGTCAGTCCTGGGTCCAGTCTTGTTCAGTGTATTCATCAGTGACCTGGATAAAGGCACGGAGTGCACCCTCAGCAAGTTTGCGGATGAGACTAAACTGGGGGGAGTGGCTGACACACCAGAAGAAGCAGCTCTGCAGAGAAGGACCTGGGAGTCCTGGTGGACAACAAGTTAAGCACGAGCCAGCAATGTGCCCTTGTGGCCAAGAAGGCCAATGGTCTCCTGGGGTGCATGAGGCAGAGTGTTGCCAGCAGGTCGAGGGAGGTGATCCTGCCCCTCTCCTCAGCCCTGCGGAGGCCTCACCTGGAGCACTGTGTCCAGTTCTGGGCTCCCCAGTACAAGAGAGACATGGCCCTACTGGAGAGAGTCCAGCAGAGGGCTACAACAGTGATTAGGGGACTGGAGCATCTCTCCTACAAAGAAAGGCTGCGAGAGCCAGGCCTGTTCAGCCTGGAGAAGAGAAGACTGAGAGGTGATCTGATCCATGTGTACAAGTATCTGAAGGGGGGGTGTTGAGAAGATGGGGCAAGACTCTTCTCCGTGGTGCCCAGTGACAGGACAAGCAGCAACGGGCACAAACTGAAACCCAGGAAGTTCCATCTGAACAGGAGGAAAAACTTCTTTACTCTGAGGGTGACTGAGCACTGGCACAGGTTGCCCAGAGAGGTTATGGAGTCTCCTTCCCTGGAGATATTCAAAACCTGCCTGGAAGCGATCCTGTGCAAAGTGCTCTAGATGATGCGGCTTGAGCAGGGAGGTTGGACTAGAAGATCTCCAGAGGTCCCTTCCAACCTTGGCCATTATCTGATTCTGTGATTCTGTCTGAGGCATATTATGCATTACCGCTGTTGTGATGACTCCATTCGTATAGATTTTTGTGGTAAATCCTCCCTTAACGTGAGCATCAGTTCATATTCTCTGAGAACAGGAACAGAAACTCTAAGATTTACTAGTGCTTCCTGTCTTAGACAAAGACGCACCTTCGTGGACCAATCTAACCAGTGTGTTCATTCATCTATTAGCACAGTTTCACTGGAATTGCTCAACCACATGAAAAGACAAGACTCTGCAAACCAAACCACCAACTGATTATTCCCAGACAGCAACTCACCTCATCTCTGAGTATGTCACTAATGGAAGAGGCTGTGTTTAAGCTGATCTGGGACTGACTGCTTATCCCACTGTCATCCTTCTGGTATTCATTGTCCAATGAGTGTACAGCAAGTAAGAGACTACCTCTGGGTTTCAGTGTCTTTGGTCTCTCAGGAGCTTCTAAATTGCTGTCAATTGCAGTGCTGTTCCCAAGAGAGATCATTGAAGTGGCACATACTCTTCCAGGATAACGGAAGCTCTTGCATTGAGAAGAGGATCGTGGACTCTGTGGTTTAGGACTCATGGGCCTACATGGCATATCTTTACCTTCACAAGTTGAGAGTTGGGGACATGATGGACTTGACTGACTAAAAGGTAACTGGAAGTCACTGGGACTAAATGGAGATTTCATCCAATATTCCTCTAGAGAAGTATTTAAATTGTTGCCCAGGGCCTCCCGCTGTTCATCACAGTCTGAGCTCTGTGCATATTTCATGCCCAAGTCATGGGACTGTATTTGTTTTCTCCACGTATCTGCAGGTGAAGAGATATCAACAGGCTCCACAGAGGTGTCAGAATAGTTGACATCTGTCAAGGAGCCATTAGCTTTTCCTGTTTTCAAAAATGCTTGCCCATTGGAACTGTCCTGTCTCTCTACTGATGTTCTCACCACATGGTCCCTACTTGTGTTAAGACTCTCCTGTGTGGGTAATAAGCTTGCCAGGATAGGCCTTTTTAGTCCATCTGCTTCCTTGCTTTTTAGAAAAGCTTTCCAGGTGCCCTGGCGAAGTTTGGCTTTCTCCTTTTCACATTTCAGTGATACTCTAGAGCTTTGCTCAGTGTTTTCTTTTTCTGGAGATTTGGATTCAAATAAGCTTGAGAGGGATTTGTGTGCCAAGGCCAGCCTTGTTCTGAACTTCTTGCCCTCAGGGTTTTTGTTTCTTTTGCACTCATTTTCAGGGAAGGATTTTCTAATTCGTGGGTATTCCAAAGATTCATTGTCATTGTTTTCAAATGAAGCTGAATCTTGTCCATCTGCATATTTGACAGCTGCCAGTGTGGGAGAAGTAGAATTTGTATCTATATCTTCCATCAGTATCCTTCCAGAGCCAGAAGCCTTCCTCAGGCTCATTCTGTTGAATAGTCCTGCAGGTCTCTCATAGAATAAATCATCGTCATCAGAATACTCAGAGGCATAGCTTTCCTTCCTGTGGAAACCAAAACCAGATGAGTAACTTTTAAAAGACTGCAAACTTTCAGTGTCTTCATCTTCTTTCCCAACATCCAGTTCTTCTGTTTTCGCCTTGCTTCCAAAGAAGCTGCTGCTTCCTTGAGTTTCTGCTGTGGCAGGCTTCGTTTTCCTGAAAGATGTCATTTTTGAGAAAACCAAAAACCTGGGAGATTTCCCAGTATTTCCATTCTTTGCTGGTTTTTGCACAGCTTTATGGAGACTGCTGTTACTTCCCAGGAGGTGGTAGGAGTGCTCATCCATCTCCTCACTGTTAGTGCTGCAGGTACTTATATTATCTAGGCCTACCCTGCAGGCATTATGGGTCTCCCTTTTTACAGAATAGTTACAGACATCAGACACATCCAGATTCAGTGCACTGTCTTTGCTAGAGCTGGCTGTGTCTTCTGTGGCACAGCCCTCTTTTTTTCCTCTAGTAAAAGGATCTTCACAAATATGCATTTGTTCCTTTGAACCATTACAGCCTTTGGTTCCTTGCTTGCCTATTGCTTGTTCAGAGGTGATGTTGGGCCCTTGAAGGTCATCAGTACCATCTCCCTGACACAGATTGCTTACACTGTCCATTTCCAGTGTTATTGCCGTGGTTATATATATGTCTTCCTCTCTACCTTGATGTACTTTGAATTCCTCTTCGTTGGTCACCTGATTATCTCTTGTTTCAGCCCATGACTTTTTCAATCGTTCTGTCTCTAACTCAAAATTTGTCCTTGTTCTGTGGGGCTCTACCTCAGAAGTTGTAACCCCAGTTCTGCTATGTGATTTCAAGACTGCTTCATCACATTTATCTGCCCCGTCTTCTGCAACAAGTATATCATTGCCCAAGGGCAGAGTAACACTCCTAGATTCCACCTTTCCACTTGTTACTGTGGAATTACTACAGCTGAAACCTAAGGATGAAACCAAATCTGTTTTCTCTCTTTGCTGTTGTGAAAATTCTGATTTTTCTTCAGCTGTATCCCAAGCAGGGAGTACCTCTGCACTACTAGGAAAGGGGTGGATGGACAGAATTTGTTCTTCACAGCTATAGCATTCTCTCAGAACTCTCTCTGGATCATCATGAGCTTTGCTGACACCTTGAGGAGACACCAAATCTTTGCTCACTATGTCTCTCAGTGTTCCAGTTACTGTTTCAGTAGAAAGGTCATCATTTAGTGTCTTGGACTGTAATCCTTTCTGCTCTACAGATATTATAATCAAGGCAGGCTTTAACTCTGGAAGATTCACTAAATGTCTTCCCTGGCATATATAAGCTGATCTGGGAGTCATTTCAAGAGCGAAGACACTGTCCTCATCCTTTCTTTGATAAGTCGGATGTTCATTTGTTACTGGCTCACCGTGACTCCTTAAGGCACCAGTTTTGCGATTTGTATTTTGCTGTACTGAATCTTTTTGCTCTGCCCTAATGTTACTGCCACCTGGTTGCAATGTAGTTTCCAGGACTTTCCAACCAAAACCAAGGTTAGAAGGTTCTTCTAATCCTCTTTTCCCTACCGTGACTTCCATACCTGACAACTCAGAATCAAGGCCATTGTCCTCCAAACTGTTCTGCTGTGTTTTACCAGTGGAAACATAGTTCACAGAATAATCACAATCTCTGCTTTCTACAACATCAGGAAAACCTACGAGACAGGCTGCTGGGTACTCAGCGTCACCAAAGCCAGATTCAATGCTAATATCACAAGGAAATCTATGCGCTTCCCAATCCGTCTCAGATTTGTACTGATCATTTTGTATTAGTTCTTCAGCATTTATGATCACTGGCTCACAAGCCACAGCAGATAAAGTCTCTTTTTGTTTTGGATTGCACTCACAAGCATCTATCAGTGCTGAAGATAAGCTATCGGCACACGAACCTGTTGCTTCTGGGCTAAGGCCACATGTCTCTGATTTAGAGTGCAAATTAAAATCAACATATTGGCAGGAGCCTGCTGGTTGAGAAAGTTGACCTCCATTTAAGTCTACACTGGTATTAAGAAGGGATCTTTTTATGTCAAATTTGCCATCTACTTCTATTGTTTTTTCAGGGCTGACAGCTACCCTTCCTAAGTTTTTCCAAGTGTATTCAAAATCCAGCCCTTGAAGATGTATTCTGGAACACGACCATCTAAATTTGTCTGTCAGATGATAACAGTTCCCCACATACTCTCTCTTGCCTTGAGCACTTATATTTTCAGGTACGCTGTGCCATGTTTTACTTTCTGCAATCTCTGACCTCATGAGTGGTGGCTGAGATTTTGATTTGAGGCGGCTCTGGTAAAAGAATGAATCTGATGTCAACATGGCCTCTGTACTTCCTTGTTTTATCCTTTTACCTGTGATTTCCTCACCGTTAACTGAGTTCCTCCTGCTGCATTTTATATTGGACATAGGATTTAGTTCACAGTTATAGTCAGATGCCTCAGTGTAACTTTCACGGTAAGTTCCATTTGTTTCAAAATGAATATTAGGTAAACTACAGCTTGGTGCTGCATCTGACTGGAAAGAAAGTTTCTGTATCTCTGGAAAAATCAAGCAACTTTCCGAGTTTGCTTTGAAACAAGCAATACTTAATACTGCAGGCTGTTTCTTCTGTCCTGTAACAGCATCTTCAGCAGGTACTGAGTTGGTATAGGATTTCACTTTTCTGCTTTCAAATTCTGCTTTAGTTTGCAATCCTTCTATTACCGGCTTTCTGTCTGTCTTTGATACAACGCCCCGTTCGCTCACTTGGTTCTCTTTTTTGGAAATATCACTAGTTAATGTTTGTTCTTCATCCTCCACTTCTTCACCTTCTGACTTCGCCGTTTGTATGCAAAATTCATTTTTCCTTGATGCTACTTTTATTTTGGAAGACACTTCTAACTGCACCTGCTGGCTAAATTCTGGTTGCCTTGAGCACTTATGTTCATAAAGTGTTGTTTCTGCCTTTGCTTTAGGAAAACTACAGCACAGATCTTTTTTTTCAGTAGAAAGGCAGTTTGAACCCAAGCAAGTTTCCCCAGTTACATCACTGGCAACAGATTCTGTGTCTGATGCACTCTCATAAGGCTCAGTTTTCACATCTGACAAAGATCCACTCTGATGCGATAGGGTCTCAAAATAATCTTCATCTGTTTCTTGGCTGGATCCACGTATCTCCAGCTCTATTGTGCTGGGGGTGGAAGAGCTCAGATCATCTTCAAACTCTCCTTCACTGACATAGTTTTCAACTGGCTCTGGGGTCTATGAATAAAGAGAAAATAATTAGTTAACAATGAACATGCAACACAATAGTATGGATTACTAGAAAGGGACTTAAGAACACAATGTATTTACTATACGTGATGACTTCGGAAGTTATACTTGCCATTTTAGTTATTGATGTCTTTCTAGTTCTATTTCTTAATTTTTGCTTCAACATACTTCTTAACTAAAGCTTTTTAATTTTTATTTTTATTTATGCATAGGCTAAAATGTGACTTTTGGCCACATCTTTCAAAGCTCAGTCCCAAGGCACATTTCACGTTCAGATAAGTCGGAAGGAAATTGTTCCTTGTCAGTAGATTTAAAAACTCTCATGAATCCATCTTCAAATCCAGAGAGGAGGTTTACACTATAAAGCAGAGACGTAATTGTTACTGTCCAAATTCTACAAATGCAACGTAAATACATGCAGAACTGTTCTGCATTTAAATAACTGGATAGTACTCATATCAAAGCCTGAATCAGAGGTGGAAGAAATTTTTGATGTCATTTTGGAGGTTTATATCAAGTGCGCTACACATATCAGTTATCAGAGCACATGCACATCAGTGGCTGAGAGCAGAAAGATCAAAATCACACATTTAATATTAGGAAATGTCTTTGTACCAAATAGCTACATTCAGGCAGTCTCAGTCTTTTTCTGTTTAACCATCAGAATGAAGCTATTTCTCAAGGCAAAAGAAAATGAAATCACAAGTCTTGCTGAGATGAAAACAGTACTTGCTGTCTGTCAGCTTCAGGTACGGCTATAGTCAGAAATTCTACAAACGTAACCAATATAAATATTTAGCTGACTCCAACCTCAGTCTATTAACATCTAGACTGAAGGGCTATATAAATGGTAGCCTTTTTACTCTAATGCTGGACACCTATCTCATGAGGTTTGGATAACGCCATCACTAGAATTATCAGCACATTTCAAAATCTGAAAACTGAGATAATAAACAATGAAAGACGTTTCTAAAAGAAATGCAAATGAATGGCAGCAGTGAAATTAGAATACAAGAGCCCTTGGCTTTAGTTACATGTCACATCCATCAGAGCGTTCTCTCAGAGAGGAGTCCATCCTTCTACTGGAAGACAAATTTCAAATCGCAACTAAGTACACATCATAGAGTTTATAATTCCAGGCTTCAAAATGTAGAGGGTAAATTAGAAGAGGGAAGGCACTAGGAAAACAAGGTTATTGCCAGAAGGGAGCTGTGGTAAGCCAAGGAAACAGAGGAAAATGAATGGATTTGAAACAAGTAAAACGTTGGAGAGAGAAGGGAGGTCTGTCTCAGTTCTGAGAGTATTTCGTAAGAACATTTTTACCGTTCTGTCTTGTACTTGTCCAACTTTGAACGCTCAAAACATCTCTGAGGAGGCCCAGAATAAAAAGATTGGTATTTTCTCTTGACAAAAGAATCAGAATAAAAACTGAAGGGGGGAGGGAAGTTCAGTGCTTCAAACCAAGTCCAAAATCACTTTCACACAATTAAGCCCCACCAAATGGCAATGTAACTGCAACACAAGTCACGTAGCCAGCAGAGCAACATGTCCTTCACTGTGTGCAATCAGTGATACATGTAATTGAGCTCCTTCAATAATGTCACATCCTACTATCACCAGGACAGAAATGACCAGCATTAAGGCAGCAGAGACTAGCATTTCACATAATGATCGAATGGCATGAACTGTGTAGCAGTTGGCTAACACAGCAACGAGCAGAGGAGCAGCTGCTCAGCAGTAACAGCACTGCCTCTTCAACAGTGTTCTGAACATAAATTTACAGATGGCAATAAACTAAGATAAAAAACGCTCAGGCAAGTAGCAACTAAGTAACGAAGATGCCCAACTGTCCCCTAGGATAGTTATAAATTAAATTACAAAAAGATTAGGGCAGAGATCTCTTAGGGCCCATCTATCCTTCCAATACAGCTATGCCAGACTGAAAAAAATAAAACAACCTGAAATTATTTGGTGTTGTGGGGTATTTTTCAAAATTACGCAAATGAAGCAAAAGTAGAAGCCCCACCATTGCCTTCAAACTTCATGGGAAATGAGGAAACAAGTTCCAGGTATAAAGGGCACCAACTAACAATGTCAGCCATCATTCCTGACGCAGGCCTGGGACTGAAAATGTGCATCCCAGTGCTGCTAATGGGAAGAGCAGGAGTCAGAATTTTGACTAGAGGTAGCTTTTTGGGGCCTCCACTACCAGATGTACCCTGGCATGGAGTTGCCTCGAGGAGGCCCTAGAGGCCTCAATTCCTGCTATGTCAATCAAAGCCCTCCGCCTAACAGATAAGAGCAGCCCAGAGCTGACTTCTAGTAAGGATGGAATTTCTAAGCCCACTTCGTTTCCCATGGTGACAAGCAAGGTCACAACAGGGCAAGTAAAAGGCTGGAGGTGCCATTCTTATCTTCTTCTATGGGACTTTGACCTCTCAGTGCTTCTGGAAGTCCAGGCATTTGCTCCACCATCTCTCATATGTGTTTTATTTTCCCCTTAGCTGGTGAAGTGTGTATTCTGTTAGGATTTGTGGGATTAGTTCTCTTTGTGCTTTTGGCGGGGGCAGGGGTTCTGTGCAAATTGAGCCAAAAGAGTCATACTCGGAGCAGAAGGGGGAAGTTTACAACGGATAGGTCCTTTGATGTAACCCTGTCCACCCAACAATGATAGGAAACGAATTTTCAGTCACAGACTCTTGTCGGTGGAGCCCAGTGACAGGGGGAGGTGCAATGGGCACAAACTGAAAAACAGAAAATTATACTTGAACATAAGAAAACACTTTTTTTTTACTGTGAGGGTGGTTGAACAGTAGAACAGGTTGCCCAGAGAGGCTGTGGAGTCTCCATCCTTGGAGACACTCAAAACCTGACTGGACACAGTCCTGGGGCAACCTGCTCTAGGTGACCCTCCTCAAGCAGGGCGGTTGGACCAGACAATCTGCAGGGGCACCTTCCAACCCCAGTGCTTCCATGATTCAGTGAAATGTGAGAGCTTGTTATTGTTCCCAAACAGAGCAGTTACTTTCTGCCAGTTCTGCTGATTTTTAAGAATTTGCACTAAACTAACTAGTGGGATGAGGAAACAACACACAGAGGTCTCCGCATAAGTGCTGTGCTCTAGATGTGTTTAGTGCCTTCACTGGAAAGCCTCCAAATGGTTAAGCAGTTCCAGCTTCACTAGGAGTATGTGAGCAAATGCATAAGGCTTTGGCAACTGCCATCACTCAAGGTGGTAATACTAGATGAAGGTAAGACAGAGAAGCGATTGGAATCAATAGCAAAACAATGTGCAGAGCTAGTGAAATAGCTAAATATTGTAAGAGCAGTTGCCAAAACCTCAGTGCATTTCCCCCTCCTGCCAGCTGAAGTCACAGCCTTCTGTTTATGTTCAATGACTGCTTAAACATTACAGCCCAATAACCTGGCCCCAGAAGTAAATCAGGACCCCCATCACGATTTTGTCTAATGTGACTCAGTAAGTGCAGGACTGCATTAGCAGCAAATGCCACAAGCCGGTGGCCTGCTGCACTCTAAAGGAGACACCAGGCAGCTTCTTTGATTCCTTTCAGTAAACCAGTTGCAAACATGAAAAAATTTTACAGCTCAAAGCCAAAAACATTATCTCCCTCCCTGACATTAATACTCCTGTTACACACACAGCCTAGCACAAATGTTGGCCAAGATAAAGCAAGGTGCATAACCTAGGTGCCATCTAGAGGATGGGATGACGTGCCTGGTCAGACTCAGCTTGTGCAGAGCAATAAATTCTCCCTTTAACAAATACAAGCTGCATTTCAGTCCCTTACTGTGCTGCAGGACAAGTCTCTCACTCACAAATTCCTTAGCACAGCTTTAGCACCAGTAAAACAAGGACTGCCCAGCAGATGAGGTGGCAAACCAGTGAAGAGGCATTAAGATTTACTGTGTTAAGTAGAGGATAAATGTGCAAGAAATTCCTTGGTAAAATATGATCGCACAAAACCGAAAAGTTCATGGCTCCCAGTATTTTGCATTGCTGGATTATTTCTTCCATTAGGTTTTGTAAACTGCTATTTGCATCAGAAATACAGTGCAATCTGTAAGAAAATATTTGTTAGGTTTATTTGCATAGGTACATTCAAAAGCAACAGTTCATTTGCACCAAAAGAAATCCTAGATTTTAGCAAAAGCACTAGGTAGGAAATGTAAAATATTAAATTGCACCAATAATTAATATTGTTACTGTTCTGAAACATAAACAGATTTTAGTCAACAAAGCAGTAAGTCATGTCAAATAAAACTCGAAATGCAAAAACTAAAATTCAGACTCAAACAACTTCCCTGCTATTTGAAGCTATCTGCATTCATCGCATTGCAATACTCCCTCTGCTGGCTACCTTAAAAGGGAATGTTTTGCTTCATTATACTTTTGACTTTAACACGTGGAAGGCACGCACTGTTAGATTTCTGATTATTTTTTCATGAAAGCAGGAATATCATTTTGCTCACCTTATAATTCCAAGTCATTTCTCATTCTCTCTCACTTGCTCTCTCTCACTCTAAAGGAAAAATCTCAGAATTGCCGCAGAAGAAAAAAATCGAAAGTTCCTTTGTTCATGTTGAAGATACAGTGTAAAGATACGGGTATGTAACATAAATATTCCCATGTAACAGAGGATTAAGTCTCACTGAAAACACTTTTTGTGGCAAAAAAGACATTCAGCTTGCTTAGCCTCACGGAAGCTCCTGCCTCAGAAACACAGAAGCAAATGTACATCTACCGCTATCTAAATTTTACCATCAATCTTCCTGTAGGATGGATGGACCTACATTAGGTTTAAGCTGTCTGGCAGAAGCAACACTCAGCTCCATATAGACCAAAAATCCTGCCTAAAAACTAGATGAATCCTCCTCCAAACACAGGGCCAAAGCTGAACTCTGCGCTGCGCAGCTGAACAGCTTCAAGTACTAACATCCTTCTACCAGCTTAAGCTGGCCGGCTACTG